TGTGTGTGTGTGTGTGTGTGTGTGTGTGTGTGCCTGTGTGTGTCCGTGTGTGTGTAGAGAAAGTAAACAAATGGGTAAAATGCCAACAGTCACCGAATCTGGGTAAAGGGTATACAAGCATCCTTTGTGCTATTTTTGCGATTTTCTCTAAGTTTGTAGTTATTCCAAGGAAAAAGTTAAATGAGAAAAAGAAGAGAGTGCCTGCTTCGACTGTATAGCTTCCAATATGGCAGTAATTTCTTAAAAAAAGAAAGAAGTTTCCTTCCTTTCCTATTGATTTGATAACTGTTACCAGCCCTTGGCACCAAAGGGCTCCAAATGGAAGAGCAGACCGTGCCTCTCTCCCACCACGCCTAGGAGGCCAGCTCCCAGCTGCTCCCTCTTCAAACACAGCGTCCTTTTCCTTCTGGGAGTTTACGGATCCCTGAAGCCAGCTGAAATGCAGATTCCTGAATGTTATTTTCCGTTGCCCTTTCATTTTTTGTTGTTGTTTTTGTTAGGCTAAAGTCTATTAGATCATGATCTGAGCTGAAGTTGGATGCCCAACGACTGAGCCACCCAGGCGCGCCTAGGCTAGTTTTAAATTCAGGGCGCAGACCCGGGGCACAGAGCCTTACCGTCCCAGGCCGCGTGAAGTCCACGCTGTGGGCCAGGCTCTGTCGCATCTGGTTACTGAAGAGGCGGACGCATACGCTCTGCAGGTACTCCGGCGTGATCTGCAAAGAGGACAGGAGGGCGGCTGGTGAGATGCACGAACTCCCCTCTCCCCCAGGGACAGCAGGGGCCCCAGCAATGATCAGAGCTGTCCCTTGCTGGGCTTTCTGGAAGGTACAGAGATGGAATTTTGCGTTAACCCAGGGGTTCTTGGGCACTAAAGCCCTGAGCCTGACAGAAAAAAACTGCTAACATGCTACAGGTATGATCACGGCCTGTCATATTTTAAATTACCTAATTCCAGTAGATGTACTCCCACTGTCACGCAAAAGGAACGGACTTTAAACCGTTTGTGCGGGCGTGTATGAATTCAAGCAATCAAGTCAATCAGGGGGCCAACAGTGTGGTAGAAAGAATGCTAGCCTTCAAATCTAAAGATCTGGGCTCAAGTCCCGGACTTGGGAAAACCAGCAGCTCCGCCCCTTGCCTTGTGACCTGTCGAGTGAAATGAACTATGTCTGCCTCTGTGGGTCATGGTGACAGGGTGAACGAGATGACACGTATGCCTGGCACATGCCAGGTGGCTGGGTACGTGCTTACTGAATGAATGACGGAGGCACTTGTATCGAGTGCCTGTGGGCGGGAGTCTGCTGCCGTCCCGTCAATGCCACTCTATTCTGGCCTTTCTGGCTGCTTCTCTCACCGGCTCATTAGCTACTGTGACTCAGGACTGGCTTACAGCCTCTCAGGTAGTAATCTCAGGATCTGTTCTTTTTCATTTTACATCTTTTCTTTTTATAAAAAGAATGCACCTTCCAAATGCGCAAGTGTCCCAACCTCTCCCCAGTCCCATCCTTCCCTACAAACCAATCCCTGGAGGTAACTATTAACCGCTTTGCTCTCTTCCAGGCTTTTTTCTATGCCTGACAGTGGGAGGGAAACCTCCCTTTCCTCAGCCTCCTGATGCCGAGTGGTGACCCCCCACACGGTCACGTGACTGGCCGCTACCCCACCCTTACTCAGCTGTCCCCACGTGAGGCCCCCTCCACCCATTCATGGGTTAGAAAGCACCGGGAACGTGGACTGCATCCTCTCCTCTCCTTGGGGGACTCCGTCTACCCACTGGAAACTTCTGGTCTGCTTCAGACACATCAAAGGCCCTGTCCATCCATGGCAGATGTCTCTGCTCATCCCTTGACACTCAGCTCTGTGCGAAGCGACTCAGACAAAGCAGCACCCCATCTCCAGGGGGCACATCCCCCATCAGCCCACGTCCGTTTCCTCTGAATGTCCACAGTATCGAAAAGTAAAGGTTCCTTTTTCATCCTGTATTTTTAACCTTTCCTTTTACGACTTTTCATTATCTACAACCTAAAAACACATCCAAATATATTTCATATTTAAAAAGTACCTTCCCCTTCCTCCACCCTAGGTCTCCACCTATCAACCACCCTCCCAGTATTCTTCCTTCACAGCCAAGGTGCTCGAGAGAACAGCCCACATTTCCTGTCTCACTTCCCCTGGCCCTCCCAAAACGCTGCAATTAGGCTTCTAGACGCATCATTCTGTGGAAACTTACGTGGCAAAGGCCATCACCAATGACCTTCTATTATGTCAAAATCATTGGGCACTTTTCAGTTCTAGTCTTCTAAAGTATTCGGTGGCTTCCGAGACTTTGCATAAACCCTTTACTCCTGAAACTGTTTTCTCCTTTGACTTCTGGAACTGCTACCAGAACCAATTCTTTAACAAGCAAATTTGACTATGTCACTTTCTTGCTTAAAACAGGTGAATGAGGAAAGGACACAAATAGACAGCAGACTAAATATAAAGGGCCAACAAATATATGAAAATATATTCAGCCTCATGCATAATTAAAGAAATGTAAATTGAAACATTCAGAACACCAAGTTTTACTTCCCAAACTGGGAAAGAGTTCAAAGTATAATCGTGTCTAGTGTTGGCAAGTGTGTGGAGAAATAAACACAGATACAGATAAACCCCCAGGGATTTGGGTAGACGTCGCTGAAGTCTCAGGAGAAATCATTTGGCAACATTTATCAAAATGTTAATGCCCATAACCTTTAACCTAACTATTCCACACTTAGGATCTTACCTTACCTGTTTTCAAAGGTATACAGTATATAGAAGAATGTTCGTTGGCACATTTTTTTGTTATAGCAAACAAAATCTATACGTTCACCATCAGAGATCTGATGGATTATAATTCGCTCTTACAATGGCATAATGTACAAGCCTAGAAAGGAATGAGGGCTATGTGGCCATGTGGAAAGATCTCCAAGATATACCGAAAGTAAAATAGCGAGTTTCAGAAGAATAATGGGTCATATGATCCCAAGTATACGTAGGCCGCATGCAGACATGCACACACACACGCCTATGCCTAGAAATGTTCTAAAATAAGACACAAGCAAATGTTCATCTTGAATACCAATAAAGAAGTGACACTAAGAAACCGTGTGGGAGGGGGCTTTTGCTCCTTACTATAGACTACTCTGACTTGTTCCAATTTGTTACCACAAACGTGTATTTTTTTTACATTAAAAACAAGCCAGTTATAGGGGGGCCTGGGTGGCTCAGTTGGTTATGCATCTGACTTCCACTCAGGTCATGATCTTGTGGTTCATGGGTTCGAGACCCGCGTCAGGCTGTGCTGACAGCTGGGAGCCTGGAGCCTGCTTCCTGCTTCCGATTCTGTGTCTCCCTCCCTCTCTGCCCCTCCCCTGCTCACGTTCTGTCTCTCTCTCTTTCTCTCTCTCAAAAATAAACATTAAAAACAAACGAACAAACAAACAAAAACAAGCCAGGTACAAGTCTAGTCCCTGCCCCTGCCGCCCCGCCCCATCTCTCCCTGCCTGGTGGTCTGTGGGCCTCTCGTGCACTCCAGCAGGAGCTCACGTGCCCATCTCTGGTCACCATGCCACCCCTGATGTCACATCAACTCTGGCTGTAAGAGGCACACCAGGATTCTGGTAGCTATGTTTTAATAGGAGAGAGGGCAAAGGAAGGCAAATACTTTTCTTTTTATTTATTTCTGTATTGTTTGAACCTCCTAATCACGGGCATGTCTTTGTCAACAGAGGTTATAGAAGCCATGTTTGTTTTCTTTCTGATACTTTTCTGTATTAATGTCAACACATGCTATTATTAAAACTGAAAAAAAAAACAGTTAATTTAAAAAGTCCATTTTTTAAGGTATATATTTCAAAAGCCCCTCACTAACTACAGGACAAATCAAGGGCTCCTAAGCATGATCTACAAACCTCCCCATGATCTTTACTGGCCCATCCTCTCTGCATCCTCTTTCAGCACGTGGCCACCACCCCAGCTAATGGCCGTACCAGGCAACTTTCAGCAGTGTGCGGGCTATGATTTCACACGAACAGAGAGGTTTTCAGCGCAGGATACTAAAACATATTAAAAAGCTACTATAGTAAAAAACACAATGCATTAGTAGCTTAAGAATAGCCAGATCAATGGAAAAAATTAAAATCCCACTACATGATAAAGGTAGCCATTCAAATTAGTGAGGAAAGAAGTAAATAGTTCTGGCTCAAATGGTTATCTTTTTTTCTGGTGGGGGGGATAAATTTCTTTCTTAAATCATCTATCAAAATAAATTCCTTGTGGATTAAAGATTTAAAAGTAAAATTAAAACAAAACAAAACAAAACGACCAACAGAAAAAAATTAACATGAACATTCCAGCTCCTTTAGTGGGAAAAGCTCCTTTATTAACACTTTGAAAAGGCAGGATGAACGAAGGGAAAAACTGATAAAATGATTTGACAATATAAACATGTCAATTTTACTAACTTAAGAAACACTAATTTAAAAACCAAAAAGCAAACTAAGGAAAACATTTACCAAAGATGAATTCTGAATGGCCTGTGTCTTAACAGGGATGCCCACAGCTGTAGTCCTGATTTCCCCCAAACCTGCTCTACCCCAGGCCTTCCCCATCGAGGCCGGAGGCACCACTGCCCTCCCACAGCTTAGGCCAAAAACCTGGAGTCATGCTTGACCCCCAAACCCCCGCCCAGGTCCAATCCAGCACAAAACACTATCGGCTCTATCTCATAACACACCCAGAGGGGCACCTCTCTGGCTCTGGCTGCCATCACCACCACCACCACCAGGTCTCCCCTCGTGACCGCAAGCCCCTCCTGCCGGTCTCCCTGGTTCCTCCAGGCCTCCGAGGACTGTTGTAAAACAAAGGCAGATAATCCTTCCACAGCATGCCAGACCACGCCACCCCCCATTCCGCTCCCCAGTTTACTCATAGTAGAGCCACATCCTAACGATGGCCCTCGGGGCCCTGACCTGCTGGGTGCCGCTCCCTGTCCTTCACTGGGAGAGGCACACGAGAGGCACGCTTCTGCTTTTGGTCCTTTGCATCCTCTTCCTTTGGCCTAGAATTCTGGGAGAATCCCAGAGGGCTGCGAAACGAATTCCCTTACCTCTTCCAGTGCAGCTCCCCCTGCCTGCCTAGTTAAAATTGTCCCCTGTCCATAGACACACGTACTCTGATCCCCTCCACCCTGTTCCTTTTTTTCCTCACAACGCTTGTCATTTTCTAACACACGACGATGTCATTTATTATCTACTGCTTATATTTACTATTTATTATTCTCGCCCCTACTGGAACGTATGCTCCCTGAGGTCAGGGATCTTTGTTTTGTTGTCTGATGTATCCCACAGGCCTAGAACGGGGAAGGCCTGGCACGTAGTAAGCTTGCAATAAATCTGCCTTCAATGAATGAGAGAAGCATATAAAAAACGTTCACTGTCATGTGGAAACAATGTGAGGTACATTTCAATCCTGAGACACTACTTCTCAAGGATCAAATTTACAAATACAAATACAAATGTTGCAACAAATACAGGTGTCCTTTTAATACACAAAGACAGGACTGGCAAGGATATAAAGATAAGGACTCCCAGTGGAACCAGACCAGCAAAACCTTCCTGGAACACCTTAGCACAGATTGCAACCTCGAAAATCAACTTTAAAAAAATATAACAGGGGCACCTGGCTGGCTCAGTCAGTGGAGCATACGACTCTTGATCCTGGAGTTGTGAGTTTCAGCCCATGTTGGGTGTAGAGATTACTTAAAATGAAATCTTAAAAAATAAATAAATACATAAAATTTAAAAATTTAAAACATAACAGAGGCTCACCTCCTCCCGCTATGTTTATAATTTATGAAAGTGAAAAGCTGGAAACAACCTCAATGTCCAACCTGGACATTAATACGAAGCGCAGCACTGCTACACGATGGACTTGAGCCGCTAACGGTGAGGCTCGTCGAACACCTCATGTCTTCAAGAATGCACGATGCGGTATTAAGGAAAATAGAAAACTTTGCCTGAACCAGAGTCCGTCTAGTGCAGCCAAGCACTGCGACAAATGTGGAATGTTAACAAGTGTTGTTACTAAGTGACACGATTGCAGGTAATTTTAATCGTATTTTTGCACAGTTCTCTATTTTTAAAATTTTCTATAATACATATTATTTTATAGTCATATTTCTAAGTCACTAAAAAATTTTTATTTTATTTTTTAAGTAATGTCTACACTGAACCTGGGGCTTGAACTCATGACCCTGAGATCAAGAGTCACATGCTCTACCAACTGAGCCAGCCAGGTGTCCTTTTAATACATGACCTTACACCGGCAATAAAATTATACAGAACCTAACATACACACAAGAGCACAAAACTGGAGAAATCAGAATAAGATCAATAGACTGGATCAATGTCAATGTTCTGGTTGTGGTACTGCAACCTAGTTATGCAAAATGTTACTCTTGGGGGAAACTGGGCAAAGCGTGCCAAGCCTCTCTGCATTATTTCTTAAAATTGCATGTGCTAATTATTCCACTTTTATTTTTTTTTTTAATTTTTTTTAATGTTTATTTATTTTTGAGACAGGGAGAGACAGCATGAATGCGGGAGGGTCAGAGAGAGAGGGAGACACAGAATCCGAAACAGGCTCCAGGCCCTGAGCTGTCAGCACAGAGCCCGACATGGGGCTCGAAGTCACGGACCGCGAGATCATGACCTGAGCCGAAGTCGGACACTTAACCGACTGAGCCACCCAGGTGCCCTGAATTATTCCACTTTTAAAGAAAATGTACATTTCTACAAAGGGATTTTATTATACTTCTAATTTTTTAGTAAGTGAAACACTAGAGTCATTCCTATTAAAGTCAGGAATAAGACAAGGAGGCCCATTATTCGATAATGTCCCGTAGTCAACAATGCCACTATGCGAAGGAAAAAAAGTCATTACAAATAATGAAAACATAATATAAAACAAAACAATCAGTATCTGAAGATGATATGACTGCCAGTCTAGAATACAGAGGTATCAATCAACAGAATCTATCAGATTAATAGAGTTCAGAAAGGTGGCTAGATATAAAATCAATATGTGAAAATCTGTAACTTTCTTTTATAGCAGCAGTATATTTCCCCCTCGTTTTTATGCCACTCCGTATTATTTTTTTCTGTTGCCAGACAATTTACCGTTTGCCAACGTGAAGAGTAAGGTAGAGAAATAAAGATGTCAGGAAAGACGGACAAAATACTATGGGCAGCACAATCATGGGCGTGGAACGTTGGCGTGGTCTCCTTTGTATGTCTGGCTTTGTGAAGCACGGGGGCAGGTGTCACTGGCCGGAAGAGGCCAGGAATCCCATTAACACAGCCCAGGCCCTCAACACTGCTTTAGCTCCAAACAGACACGCAAGCAGGTACAGATCTTCCTTACCATCTTGCCACTGACCGTGGCCTCCAGGGAATCCACCAGCTCTGCTGTGACCCCGATGAGATTGTGGTAGTCTGCCTGGATCTTATTGTACCGCTTCAGGTACGTCATTGACCTACGTTCGGCTTCTATCAGCTGCTGGTGGAGCTGCTGTGACATTTCTAGGAAGACGATTTACATTAAAGCAAAACAAACCAAAACAACAGTAAAAATAAAACAAAAAAAACCCACAAAATAAAAAATATACTCTTCTCAAGGCAGTATTGTGCCTGCTTTCAGAATGTTCTGCAGTCATAATGAACTTGATATTATTCGTGTTTAACACTTTCCTTCTGGGGCACTTGGGTGGCTCCATCAGTTGGGTATCTGACTTCGACCCAGGTCATGATCTCACGGCTGTGAGTTCGAGCCCCACATCGGGCTCTGTGCTGGCAGCTCAGAGCCTGGAGCCTGCTTCGGATTCTGTGTCTCCCTCTCTCTCTGCCCCTCTCCTGCTCACTCTCTGTCTCTCTCCTTCAAAAATAAATAAATATTAAAAAAAAAAAACCAACACTTTACTTCTATTTCCTGACACATTTAATTACAAAGTGCTTTGTGACCACTGATTTTCAATTTCTGGTCTCTGGTAGTTCAACTGAATCGTCACTGGTTTTCCTCACACAATCTATTTCCTTGACTGAGCCCCATGCAATTTCTTGTAGTTGCTCTCTCTGTGTAAAAGACACAAACTCAGTATTTCTTCCAGCTCACACACTGGGTGAAGCAAACCTACAGCTTTTCCTCTGTGTTTGCCCCGTGAGGTTGTCTGGAGGTAATCTGTATCTGCAGGCCAGCTCTTCATTTTCGGTAAAGGTTAGGCTACTTGCCTAATGCTGAGGAAGCTAGAATCCAGAATTAGGCAAGATTCAAGGTGCTCGGTCTGCCAGCTTGATAAAGCACAAACCACCCCACTGGGCCCTAGAGCAGGCAGCCTTGGAAGGTTCCAGGGTTCTCTTCTGGGACTCTGCACCAGGGACAGCACTTGATGGCCAAGCCACCCTGGACACAGCCGGAATAGCGAATCTTATCCAGTGTCAGCACTCCTTTGGCCCATCTTCCTTTTCCCCCTCCCAGAAGGCTAAGTTTGGATGGAAGGAAATGATGATGCCCCCAAACCCAAGTTAACTACTCTTGTCCTAATTGGGCACTGTCATCATTTTAGAACACATTTCATCCATGCACTGAGAGATTTGAAAACCCTAAAGACCTGGGCTCAAGTGGCTACTCTACCACTTTCTGCTGGATAATCTTGTGCAAGACGCTTAACTTCTCTCATCTCATTTCTTAACCTATAAAACGGGGATGATGATAATGACCCTGAAGAGTTATTGTGAGGATTGTACAGCATAGGGGAAACAATCAATAATACTGTGATAACATTATATGGTGACAGATGGGGACTACACTTATCCTGACAAGCACTGAGTAATGTACAGAACTGTCGAATCACTATGTAGTATACCTGAAACTAATACAACACTGTATTTCAACTATACTTCAACTTAAAAAAAAAAAAGCATACATACAAAAAACAAGTTAGTATGAGAATTAAACAAACAGATATACTCAAAGTGCCTAGCACAATTCTGGCCCACAAGAGGCAATCAATAAGTAATAGCTATTATGGAAAGGGGTCAAAGATTTCCTAAATATGTTTCCATACAAGTAGACAACTTGAAAAAACCAGGGGTTAAACCCTAAAGCCGCAGTATGCAAAATTTGAAACATGTCAGAATCATCCAAAAGTAAAGATAATCAAGCCTCACCTTCAGAGACTGATTTTATGGATACGGGGTGGGGACTGAGAAACTATATTGTCAACAAACTCTCCAAATGGCTCTGATGCATATCACAAGTTTGAGCCCCACTGTCCTAAATTATCTATTCCTCTTAATTTGTGTTCTAAATAGCTATGAGGATCACGCGTGAACTGTATCTCAATTACAATTATGTGTAGAAGTCAAATATTTTAACTATTAAAACCTCAAATATCACATAAAAATGAACTAATATTACTATTATTATTTAGCATCCTTCAAATCTCAGTATTAAAAGATAACTTTAAAAAGTTCTCAGGCCATGGGGTGCCTAGGTGGCTCAGTTGGTTAAGCATCTGACTTTGGCTCAGGTCATGATCTCATGGTTCATGAGTTCAAGCCCCGCACTGGGTGAGCTTGAACCCTACTTCGGGGGGCACTCCGTGCTGACAGTACGGAGCCTGTGTGGGATTCTCTGTCTCCTTCTCACTCTGCCCCTTACTCAATCATGGCCCCCCCACCCCGTCTGCTCTCTCTCAAAAAAAAAAAGTCATCTGGCATGAATTTACATCTAGCACTTGAAACTTTGGAAAACATCTATGGAAATCATTTGTCAAGTTTTTTCTTAAACATTATTAGGGAGAAGGAAGGAGTCACTACCATCTTCCTATGCTAAATAGTATTAAGGCTTTTTCATACGTACAAAATTCCAAATTACATAAACCGGAACATCCAACTATAAAAATTCTACAGGATAGTCATAATTCTACTTCATGGCAATGACTATTAGAGTACCTGTGCAATCTTTCTTAACATGTACCAAGTAGCAGATGATGAAGTACCAAAACCCATTAACCGGGGCAAATAACCTCACAAATCATCAATATAAAAGTCCCCAAATTGGGGCACCTGGGTGGTGCAGTCAGCTGGGCATCCAACTTCTGATTTTGGCTTGGGTTGTGATCCCAGGGTCGTGGGATCGAGCCCCACGTCAGGCTCGGTACTAAGCACGGAGCCTGCTTAAAATTCTGTCTCTCCCCCTTCTGCCTCCTCCCACTCTCCCCTGCTGTGCTCTCGAAAGAAAGAAAGAAAGAGAAAAAAGAAAGAGAAAGAAAGAAAAAAAGTGTCCAAAGTTGTCCCCTCAAAAGAGGACTGCACAAAGGAACTCTCCTCAGAAAGTCACTGTGCGATTAACTAAACGTAAGGGACTACTTGTGGCACTTCTGCCTTAGGAACTCAGAATTGGAATTTATGACAGTGTCAAAGTATGGCACACCTGAGGAAAAATACCTAACTGCCAGCAGCCACAGAAAGGAGAGAAGCAGGCAGTCGGGCTGAAATATCTGTGACCAGTTCAAATACACCATTGGACAGAACAGCCTGTGGTACAGAGATGTCACCCAGAGGACACCTTAACTGGCTACAAACAGGACCTGGCCGTTACTGTTAAGCGATTCGGCTCCAGCTCCAAGATCTCAACTTTATGTCTGAGGGTAAAAAGAACTTTCACTCTTTTTTCCTTCTCAAAAGTTTCATGAGACAAGGACCACTAAGCCAAGATCCCTTGCCGTGCAAGAGCTCAACTTTGAGTGGAGAGGTGTTACTAGAAATCCCAGCTTATATTAACGAAACTGTCTGAGTTATTTCATATTTCACAACTACTTACATAATTTGTACAAAAGTCCAAAGAAGTACTTCCCTAGTTTTAAACAAAGAGATATATACAATTAAAAGAATGTCAGTTAAGGTCACAGAAAGTTTTCTGGTAATTCCAGCATCCGATGAAACACTAACAAAAGTGATAGAGTTCTCCCTCCATGGCCAAGCCATCAAGTTGTCTCTCAACACTTCTCCTTTAAATACGTTGCCTTTTTTTTTTTTTTTTTAAAGAGTGGATGAGATTTAACTTTAGAGACCCCTTTGTTGCTCAAGACAAAATGATATATTTTAAATACATGGAACTATTTTTCTAACATCTAAAAATCTGAAATCAATCACTCTAACTTTATAATATGACATACTCTTTCTTCTTTGTATTCAGATATAAATCAGCTTTGCTATTTTGCTAATCCACGAGTACTGTGAATATAGATCATCATTTTAAAAATACCATTTAGGGCTCTAAACTCTAGAAAAACAGTCAGTTGCTCATTTTCTGAAGAGGTCAGATCAACGGATGGCAGAAATGCTAAAAGATACCATTTCTATACCTTTTTATTATTTTTTTATTTTATTTATTTATTTATTTATTTTTTGAGAGAGAGCGCATGCGAGCAGGGGAAGGGCAGAGAGAGAGGGAAAGAGAATCCCAAGCAGGCTCTGTGCCATCAGCATAGAGCCCACCGAGGGACTCAAACCCATGGACCTGGTGATCACGACCTGAGCTGAAACCAGGAGTCAGATGCTTAACTGACTGAGCCACCCAGGCACCCCTCTGTAACTTTTTTGGATGGCTAGGTAAAATAGTAAGACAATATGCTGTATTTCCAACCTGAGTTTTTATTCTAAGTACCATTTTAAAATGTAATTCCTTTTGAGAGAATTTTCTACTCCAAGCACTCTTCTTACCTTCTTCAAAAGCTTGTGGAAATCTGACTCATGAAACCTTCCTCTCAAGATACGCAGAATAATGATATTGTCCAACCATTCAATGTAAAAAACAACACCTAAGTCTAGAATTCAAATAAACTGGGAGCATGTCTGCGCCTTGTGGTCACTGCAGCAGTAACTGTGGGAGGAGGGGACAAACTGGTGACAAGGGGCTGTCACGACATGGGGCCTGGGCCTGAGCCCCTGGTACCAGTGCCCTGTGGAGCTCACCTCTGATCTCCATGGCAATACTGCATCATGGGGCTTATTCAGCCACGGACACACGCTGCGCCTGCCAGGCTCAATTCCACCGACATTCTGCTTGGCTAGCCTCAGAAAACTCAATTAAAATCAAACCTAAAGAGGGCTCACACACCCTGGTCTCCTTGCTGAAATCCGAAGGGAAGATCTGTAGAAAAACACAGGCTCTTCCCTTTACACTCCCCCTCCCTCCCAGGTTTATTTTATCCATAAAACTGGGCCACTTCTGAAAGACAGGACTGGTTCCTGGCAGAAAGTTGTCCTCAAAAGCTTCGGGGTACGTTGGGGTGACAAGGGCTGGCTGAGACTCAGGAATGAGGGAGGTTTCCCTCCACTTTCCCTCCGCCAGTGCCTAGGGGTCCAAAGACCGAGTCTGAACGAGGATCACTGGAGAACTAGGGCGATTTTCTGAAACTCAAAGGATGCCGGTGGGGTAGTGGTTTTAAAATATGATGGCCAGATCTTTGACACTCCTTCCCATCAAGAGGTGGAACGTCATTCTCCTTCCTTTGAATGTGAGTTGGCTTTAGGAATTTGCTTCTGATGAAGAGACTGCAGCAGAAATGACACAGAGTTCCTCGAGAGGCTGGTTTAGAAAAGGTGACACAGCTTCCACGGGCTCTCTCTGGGGACATTCATCCTGGGAACCCAGCCACCATGCCACAAGAAAGCCCAGGTCACAGAGGTGTTCCAGTCGGGCGCCTCAGCACTGGCCACCAGGTGCACATGGGTGAGGAAGCCTTGGGGATGGCTCCCCTGAACCCACGAGACAGCCAGGGAGAAATGCCTAAGCACACGGTTCCAGGCCAGGCAAGGTGATGCTGATAATAAGGGGACATTGTTGTTTTATGCCACTAAGCCTGAGATGGTTTGCTAGGTCGAAACAGAAACAGAAACGGGGGGGCAAGGGTGCATTTCCAGGAGTTGCAGGGCGGGACCCAATGCCCGGCACAATTTAAGAATTCCCACTGTTCTGGGGCACCTGCCTGAGTGGCTCAGTCGGTTGAGTGTCTGACTCTCTGTTTCAGCTCAGGTCATGACCTCACAGCTCA